CCCCCCCCAGGCGGCTTGCTGCCCTCTGAGAGACCCCAGCTGGCTGGCGGAGGCTTCTCCTGCGTGTACCTGGGCAGGTGAGTGGTTGGCTGGGGACACGGAGCTCGGCGCAGGACTGGATACGAGCCAGGCAGGGAGATCTTTTTAAACACAAATCAGTGGACACAACTCTCCTGCTTCACCCCTGCAACAGCTGCCCAATGCACGTGCAGGGAAGCCCACTCCCCATGCCCTGGCACGCCTGCCTGCGGGGTTGGCAGGGCACCTCTCACCCAAGCCCCACCCTCCCCGTCACCTACCGGACACAGCCTCTTTCTAGGTTTCCCAAGTGCCAGAGGGACTCCTGTGGGCTGGCTCCTTAATGGCTGGTGTGTCCCCGAATGCCTCAGTCACTGGGATCTTTGGAGCCAATTTATAAAACTGGCACAGCTTTGCCAACACTTGGTACTTTAGGGCGTGTGTTGTTTTTTTAAAAATACTAGTATCCCAATGAGTGTAAGTGGTATCTCATTGTGGTTTTGACTTGCATTTCCTCAAATGATTAGTAACGTTAAACACCTTTTCATGGGCTAATTGCCCCTTGCGTATCTTTTTTGGAAACATGTCTATTCAAGTCCATTTCTAAATCAGGTTCATTTGTTATTGTTGTTATCGAGCCTTAGGGGATCCCTATATATTCTGGATGTTATCAGGTATGCGATTAGCAAGTATTTTCTCTTCCCTTTTACTCCGCTGGTTGTGGCCTTTTACGCTCCAAAGGTTTTAAATTTAAAATCCAATTTGTCTCTTTCTGCTTTTGTTGCCTGGGCCTTTGGTGTCTCATCCAAGAAATTATCGCCAAATCCGGTATCATAGAGCTCTCCCCCTAATTTTTCTTCTAGGCGTTTTAGAGCTTTAGCTCTTACGTGCAGGTCTTTGATCTATTTTGAGTTAATTTTTGTATATGGTGTTAGGCACAGGTCCAACTTCATTCTTTTGCATGTGGCTATTTTTTCCAGCACCACTTGTTGAAAAGGCTGTCACTTCCCCATGGAGTGGTCTTGGCACCCTCGTTGAAAATCCTTTGACCCTATGCGTCAGGGTTTATTCCTGGGATCTCTGACCTGTTCCACTGCTCTATATGCCTGTCTTTATGCCGGTGCCACACTGTTTTGGTTACTACAGCTTTGTAGTAAATTTTGAAATCAGAAAGTGTGAGTCCTCCGGTTGTGTGTTTTTTCAAGATTTTTCTCGGCTGCTCAGATCCCTTGAGATTCCATGAAAATTTTAGGATGGATTTCTCTATTTCTGCAAAGAATATTCCTCATTTTATTTATCTCTGCAGAAACTTTATTATTTCCTTCCTTCTGCTAGCTTTGAGTTCAGTGTGTTCTTCTAGTTCCTTAAGCTGTCAAGTTAGATTCCTGATTTGAAATCTGTTTTTCGTGAGCATTTACAGCTGTGCATTTCCTTCCGAGCTCTGCTTTTGCTGTGTCCTGTAGGTTTCCGTATGTTTGCATTTTTACTCATCACTGTGAGTTTTCCCATTTTCCCTGTGACTTTTCCTTTGACCCATGGGTTGTTTAAGGCTGTGTGGTTTAATTTCCACGTATCTGTGAATGTTCCAGTTGTCCTTCTGTCATTGATCCTGACTTCATCCCACTGTGGTCAGAGAAATCATACTTTGCACGATATCTTTTAAATCTGTCGAGACTTAATTTGTGGCTGAACATGATATATATATACCCTGTACCATGTATACTTGAAAATGAAAATAAGGAATACTTTTTTGTCACTGGGAAGAGTGTCCTGTATGTCTGTTAGGTCTGGTTGGTTTACTGTGCTGTTCAAGTCCTCTAATTCCTTGCCCCGTCTTCTCTCTAGCTGTCCCATCTGCTATTGAGAGTTGGCAGTGGAAGGCTCTATATGTTTCTCCCTTCAGTTCTATTAGTTTGGGCTTCACATATTTTGATGGTCTGTTATCAGGTGCATAAATACTTATATCTTTTGCTGTACTGAACCTTTGATTAATAGACGATGTCCTTCTTTGTCTCGTGTAAACGTTTCTTGATTAGGGCCTATTTTGTTAGGCAGTAGTAGAGCCGCTCCTGCTCTCTTATGGTCACTGTTTTCCAGGGAATATCTTTCCCCATCCTTTTGCTTTCAACCTGACTTAACCTGGCTGAACAGTGACCCATAGTGCGAGCAGCAGAAGCAGCTCCCAGGGGTGAGTCTGTGAGTCTGTGAGCAGGTAGGGCCTCTGCTTTCATTCGCTTTCGGGCCTATCGGACTGGCCGAGAAGCCCCGGGGGAGATGACGGAAGGGCTGTGTCAGCACACACATGCCACCTGCCCTGGGCCACAGTGGCACTGCCCTTACTAGGTAGGGTTCATCAGGCAACATCTCAACCTCAGTTTAATGTTCTTGGCCCTGGGCCTGGAGCCTCCAACATCTTAGCACAAGCAGTTGAAGACGAGTGGAGGGTGTCGAATTCAAGCCAAGCATCGCAACCACTCGGACCCGGGTCTTAGAGACAGTAGAGGGTTAGGAGGGCAATGTTCCCATGTCCCACCCCTTCCCTGCCCCTGCCCAGATAATAAATTGTAAAAGAAATATCCAAATAGGAGCTTTGCCTTATTACTACTTTGCTTGTTGTAATGAAGGTTTAATCCTTCCACTCGTGTCCTGGACAATTAAAAAAAAAAAATAAATGAGATGAAATTATCCACAGATGGAAGCGTCTGGAGCGGAGCTAGGTCCCCCAGCCTGCCTCCCAGGTTTCCTCTGGGCGGACTGGAGAGCTGTACCCCATCATTACCCAGCCGCCAGGAGAACCTGGGTTTATGCAAAGGAAAGACAGAAATACTTCTCAGAATCTAGGGCCACACCCATTAAAAGTCAACAAAAGCACTTCCACTTCGGAACACATGCCTAAAAGAAAAGGGAGGCAGAGGTGCAGATAAACATCTGCACACCCATGTTCACGGCAGCATCACTCACAACAGCCAAAAGGTGGAAGCGGCGAACAAACAAACAAAATGTGGTCCATACATACAAGCAGGTCCATGACGCCACTTACAGGAGGTTCCCCACTTCCTGCCAGGCCTCACTGCTCATGGCAAGCTCTGTTTTGCAATAAAGCTTGATCTTGATTCCTACTAGACTGGACCCCTTAGAGCAGGGACCGGGCTCACTGTACCCTGAACCCCAGGGGAGGGGGTCCCATACACAGCAAGGGTCTTGGAAGGCTCTGGAAAGGAGTGGTGGGCAGGGCCCACTCACTGAGCAGAGCAAGGCAGTCAAAGAGTGCAGCTGGCGGGTCAGTGGGCAGGCCCTTTGCCATGGGGACACCTGCCAGCCCCCCACCGTCCTCACTGCCTAAGGATCCCAGGCTGTGTGTGCCTCCATTCCACCCCCCACCCCCCCCAGCTTCTTCCTGAACTGAAATGAGGACATGGCACCCCGTCCGGAGCTCTCAGCCAAGAGAAAGCAGAGCCCACCCAGCTCAGGACCTGCTGGGACTCACCATGTTCATGACGGTGAGGATGAACCTCTGGGCGGCCTCGGCCCCGTGGTACTGCACCATGTCCGCGTCGGCCACCACCAGGGTCTCCACCGTGTGCTCGTTGGTGAGCCGGATGGCGTTCCTCCGCTCCCGCCAGTCCTGAGACGGCCTGACCTTCCTCGGCTTCTTCTTTTCTAGAAAACGAGGAAGACATGAGTGCAGTCCCGGCATCGTGATTTCGAAAACCATGCAGGGAACAGGCCTCCCCGAGCCTCCCCGTGAGAGTGGTCAGTCTCCGCTGGCCGTGGAGGGGCGTCCACCGTCAGAGGGGAGGCTGAGCGAGGGCGCTCGGGGCACTCACAGCCGTCCACCGCCACAGCTGCGCAGGCGGATGGGACTGAGGATCACAAAGAGAAAGTGCCCCCTCCAGAGAGCAGCACAAAGTCAGTGGAGGGAGAGGAAGCCTGGGCCCACCGGGAAGGGATCAGAAAGTGCCTCAGGTCAGTGACACAGAATCAGGGAGACTTTGAAAGGGCCACACCCACTGCTGATAACTGGTAACAAGGCAACAGATGTGGGAAACACGGACAAGACATTCCCCTGGAGGTGGACAATCCAGGAACTATTCGAAGAGTCATGAACGAAGAGTCATAAATGTTCATGGGCACAAAAGCATTACTTAAAAAAACAACCAAACATATTCAGAAAAAAATTGCAGGACACGGACACACCCAGGCCACGACGCAAGCGCATCCTTTCCTCGCCACGGAAGGGTCATCAGTGACCGTGAGTGATCCTCAGTTCAGACTCTAGATAAACTGATTCTCTGTGAGATCGCGCTTTGATAAACAGCTGTTGTCACTCATCAGAGCCCAGGTCAGAACATCTGGACTCTGGCTGCCATGTGAGGACTGACCGAGATGCTGGTGGAAACCCCTCGGCCAACACCAGAGAGGCTGCCATGAACAGCATGCGCTCTCAGGAGCCAAATGTGAACAGAAAGGTGGCTCTTTAATTGATAGCTATGTACTTCTGTGTTTAGCAGTAGCCGATACAGAGGCCATCGGTCACGATTTCCATGCAGTAAACCCGGCCTCCATATGCACAGGTCAGCTTCGGAAGCCAGTCACTCCAGAGCCAAAAATGCACACAGATTTCTCAACAACCTATTGCTGCCGCATCCAAGGGCCTGGGGACAGGGCCGTACAGATTCGGAGTCAACATGGGGGAAGGACTGGAGGAAAAGACATGAACCAGCTGTGGGCCAGCAACAGGTTTCCAGGTGACGTGTTAAAGTCCGCGCACACACGCAGATTTACAAACACCATGCTCTCCGATAAAACTCTCGGGGCCCTCCCAGATGCTTTTCTCTTTAGCCAAACCAAAGGGTCCCTTCAAAGAAAAACAGCCCTTTCAACTGGAAACAAGGGCTCCACGTGTATGAAGAGCTCCCGGCCAGGTGAACTTTCCGGCAGCTGCAGAAATCAGCATCCTTGAAAAATAACAGCCTTCTATTTTCTTTTTTTTTTGAAAGGGGAAAAAAGAAATGAGTTTTGCTCTCCAAGGATGAATTCTTTAAATAACTTCCCCCAAGGCCAAGTCATTTTTCTAAAAGGCATCTTTCGCATGTAAATTCCTTACAAAGGGAGGTGAAAAGTAAGAGTGTCGTGGCGGTGTTTTTTTCTCTAGTTAAGATCCCAGATGAAGAAATGATCAACCTTGGAGTCCAAAATCAGTGCCTGCACTAGCAGGAGGTATGACCATACCCCACCCTGGGCCACCGCAGGAGCAGGGGCTGGCCCCACCCGAGTTTTCCACTCACACTCAGAGCCTCCTGGGTACCAAGCAGCCAGGCCCTGCTGCCTGTGGGTGACGTGGAAAGATGTTCATTCGGCCAGCCGTCACTGACCGTGACTGCTAGGCACTTCCACAACGCAGGTGACCATCTGGAAGTCACGGACATTAACCAAGTGGACAGATCAACAGTCGCCCATCCTCTCCCCGCCTCGGGCAGTGTGGACGGGGCAATGCGCTGGAATGTGTGCAACCACACGGTCAGGGCGGTGTGGCAATACCTGGACAGGGCCACGACCTCAGAGGCGCATCGAGATGTGTTTGGCAAATTGCAAAAAACAAATACAAAAGCTTGAATTATCACTTTTGACCCCACTCTCCAGGGAAGTCTGTTGCTGGATGATTCGTCTAGCCTACCGGAGCTTGACAGTTTTACCCTCTGAACTGATGG